TGACTGTGAGAGCCGTTCAGCAGTGGAACTCTCTGCCCCGGAGTGTGGTGGAGGCTCCTTCTTTGGAAGCTTTAAACAGAGGCTGGATGGCCATCTGTCAGGGGTGATTTGAATGCAATATTCCTGCTTCTTGGCAGGGGGTTGGGCTGGATGGACCATGAGGTCTCTTCCAACTCTTTGATTCTATGATTCTATGTGTTTGAAAAGTTAGGGTCAGTTCTGGTGTAAAACTGGCCCCACTGTTCACACAGGGCAACGCCACTATCTTGCTTTCCTTGCATTTTCTCAATTTACTGGAATTGTTTTTCATGATCAATGCCATAATGACTACCCTCACAATTTCAAATACCACTCAATCACAGCAAAAACAGTTTAAAAGATAGCTATGTTTAAGCTGAGAGAAGCAAGATGCTGATAAAATGGTTAAGCTTTATCTCCCTGTTTACACTTGTGTGTTTTTAATAATTTTGATGGTGAGCTGCTATCCTGAGTCCTGTAAGACGCTTAAAGCAGTAGCTTCAATTGATCATGAATCTTTGCTTTATGTCATCCATTATGCTTTGAAAGTCTTAGCCATGCAATGATATTGCCTAACATTCATTAACATTTGGAGATATTAAACCATGAAAGCACACCTGCATGACAAAGTGAATTGTTTAGGAGTATAAAAATCATTTGAATTTAAAATATTGTTGTACTTTATCAATTGACTAAATCTAAGAGGGGGAATTTTAGTGCTCATTGCTAACAAAACTGCTTCTATCAGCCAATTGTAATCCTGAGGGCAAATCGATGCTTTGTAAGTTGTTCTTTGTGGATGAAGAGTGCATATACACTATATACTTTAAATAATAAATAAACAAACAAATAAATAGGAAGGATGATCTGAGATCTCACTGTACCCTCCCCCTATTCACCTGATAAACCTGCTTCAACACATTGAGAAACTATAGTCCTCAGGTGAAGGAAGGGAGACTGGCACTGGAGCACCAAAGCAACACTGGATTTAGGCTAATGCATATATTTAAATGATAATAAACTAAAATAAATTAAGGAAGAAAAACCATTATATGATCCTTTTCTAATTCATAAAAAAGAAGAGAATGCCTGGGTTTTATTGGCTATACCAGGGGTCCTCAAACTTTTTAAACAGAGGGCCAGGTCACAGTCCCTCAAACTGTCGGAGGGCTGGATTATAATTTGAAAAAAATGAATGAATTCTTATGCACACTGAACATTTCTTATTTGTAGTRCAAAAAAAGTACTTAAAAACAATGCAAAAATTAAAATAAAAACAATTTTTACAAATATAAACTTATAAGTATTTCAATGGGAAGTGTGGGCCTGCTTTTGGCTGATGAGATAGGATTGTTGTTGTTGTTGTTGTTGTGTGCTTTCAAGCCATTTCAGACTTAGGTTCACCTTGAGCGAGGGCCGGGTAAATGACCTTGGAGGGTTGTATTCGGTCCCTGGGCCTTAGTTTGAGGACCCCTGGGCTATACCTTTGGACCAGAATGCTTTACAAATCCCTTCTGCTATTACAAAGAATCTTGGCCAAGGTGGATTTCTTGACATGTGTAGGCTTGCTGTTGTTTTTAACAACAAACAAGAACAACATCCGGACCTCAGACCACAAAATAAACAAAATGCACGTCCAGTTCAAACAGAAATAAAAATAAACTGAAACTGAACTGAAGCACCCATGTCCCCTCCTTTCATACAAAATACAGGTATAATAATTTAGTATAAGATAACAAAAGTATAGAATAACCTCAAAGCAAATCAACTTTGCCTACTATCTGTAACCTAATTCTAATAACTACAGGAAGAAACGTGGTTAGATTTCTCCTAATTGTTTAGTTATCTGCCATTAATTAATAATGAAAGATATGTCTTATCAGAACTCTCCGGTTACCAAAAAAGAAAAATGAGCAGCACTCAGTCTCATGCAAAAATTACAATGCACAAGAATTTAAGATAATATTTTAATTACACCATTGCCACATAGGCAAGCTCTCAAGTGTCAAGGTAAACCTGTAAATCAGATTTCCATGATTGCTGGTGGAAAGGAATTCAGCCTGATCATGGAAATATGTGTTCTATATTGAAATACTTTTTGTGTTTCAAATACCTTGTAGGTTTCAGGCTAACCTTAGATTGTCAGCCAAGGTAAGGTGTCCAAATGACAAGCATTTTGGAAGTTAAGATCCAATAATCTTAGCTTATTAGAAGTATACCCTTTCCCCTGTCCAACTGGAAGCAGATGATACTATGAACAACCAGCTGAATTCACTTCATTAGGGACAACTTTCTGCTGTGAACAAACATAATGATCAACTAAAATCAAGGATAAATAAACATGATCAATGGGAAATGCTAGTTTGTTTTTGTGTCGTTTGTTGAGGTTATCCTGGCTAAAGATTCCATTTGTTATGCAGGAAGTCAGCAAATGCAAGGAGTGTGAATGCCAGCCAGGAATGAAAGAAAGCCCCAGGTGGCAGCATGAAAATTAGTATTTAATTACCTGAAGTTTGTCTTTTACTGATTAAATTATAAAGCACTGTTCCCCATAGAAATGATAGATATTCACAAATGCCTTTCGCTCTACCACATCATTTCAGCCAAACAACTCACAAAGGAACCTAGGAAATGGCCAGTCCCTATTTTTGACAATTAAAGCTGCCCAGTCCTAAAGTATTCCAATTTAAAACATCTAAGCAGGTTAAAACATCATATAGACACCGACCATAAAACCTTTTGTTTTTTACACCTCTATAGGACAGTTGACTCCCATATGCACAGTTTTCTAGTGCTCATATAGCTTACTTTAAGCCAAGTATCACTTCAGGACATTGGGCACATCCCTTTTTCTTTTGAACTACAGGTGGAAGCTGTTGATGTTTGACATATGTTACAATGTCTTTTCAAATGCAGCACACAGATAAGAAAACAAGTTTATTGTAAGAGAGTAACTCAAAATATTCAACTGGAAATTTCTGTATCAGACACATACTATATTGTTTTATGTGCTTTCCTAGTTTCATAATGGTTTCAGCTTGTTTTCTTTCTGGTGCTGTTGGTATGATAAAGTTCCTTGTCTCATTAGTGTGAAACTGATTGGCTGATTCATTCGTTTGTTCCTTATGACTGTAAGCAGCTCTATGCGACTTGTTGTTGCAAATGCATGATATACTATACGATTTAACAAACCTACAAAATGGAGGGCGAACATTCATCTTGCTGTCCCTCTCTGAGTGTGATAAAAGAAGAATGCCAAGGGAATCTGACATTTGTATAAGGAGTGCTAAAGCCAACACTTTGTTCCACACAGGGATTAACAACCCAGCATTAATTCCAAGTCTTAAAATCCTTCCTTCATATATGACTGATTCTTACACCACTGGGAAAGAATTTGCAAATGAGAAGACAAGGCAAGAGCACAGCAACATGAAAACTGCATTCATTGTGTTGTCTGGAGAGCAACCCTCTATGCTAAAGCACACAATCAGTTGAAAGTAAACGATCAAATATAGGTTGAGCCCCCTTTATCCAGAAATTCAAAAACCCCTAAAATCTTCAACTTCTTGCTGCCACCCATCCAATTCTGCCTTGTGAAATCCTGCTCATTGGTTCGCAAGATAGAAGCAAGCAGCTTGTAGATTCTCTGGAGATTTCCTGGACAGTACTGCTATTCAAACCCAAAACATTTATTTCGGTCATTGACCAGCACAGGAAATAGTGTCACATTTCCATACAAACCTGGCATGTTTGGTACATTAAAAATATAAATACAACTACTAAAAACACAATATGGGTGAGGGAGCAGAAGGGGAAACAGGGTAAAAACATACAATGCCCAGATCCATCACCAAATTGTAGATTCAGGGAAGAGTCTTAGTTTTGCCTACTCAGCAGTACTGCTATTTATTTTCAGTATCTCAGAACCTTAGTCTTTCTCCAGACTTACATCCACTATGCAACACATGAACAAGATACAAAGCTGAAGAGAGATATGAGGATCCATGAAGTGACGAAAGGTGTGGCTTTGATCTGAGCACTGTGTTTGGATTCCTAGCATTTCACAGATTCTCAGTCTTTCTCCAGCCTTGCATCTCATTCATTCACTGTTTGTGTTGTGCATGAAACGTGATGCTGCAGACTGAGGATCTGTGAAATGGTCAAAATCCAAACATAGTCCTTAGTGGGAATCCACACCTTCCCTCCTGTCTGTCTATCGGTCTCTTTCTCTATCCTTAAAAATACAGTATGAATCTAAAAAGAATCTGAAATATGAAACACCTCTGGTCCCAAACATTTTGGGAAGAAGAAGAAGAAGAAGGAGAAGGAGGAGAAGAAGAAGAAGAAGAAGAATTTTATTTTTCTACCCCAACTCCATCTCCCCAAGGGACTCGGGGTGGCTTACATGGGGCCAAGCCCAGGCAACATACAGTTAAAAGCAAAAATAACAACAAATTACAAATCAAAATAGCACAAAACAGCAAAACAGGAATAAACAAATATCAAGCAACAGCTGACCAGTTTGGAGGGGGGAAGGAGGCCAACATACAAACTGATTAAAGAGTAATGGTTCAATAAGGCGAATAGGAACATATAATGGCACCGGAGATATCATGGAAACAGAGCAATTAAACAATATCAGGATCAATTCAGTTTAACTTACATATATGAATAATGATGTAATATAGGAATTCTGATTAAATGATGAATTCAGGTCAGGGTACAATCGGGTAAGGAAGACTCAGCCTGCACAACTCTTTTCTTACACCATAACTGAATGATATTCCCATTTCACGTCAAAGGATCAAAAGTAGATCTTGAGAAATTTTCTTCAAAACACATTTCCCACTACTATCCATACTCCATGGTTTTGGCTTGTGGTTGTAGTTTGCATTTCAGAGCATGAGGAAATATGGCACTGTTATGATTAAGCATAAAGGAATTATAATTAGTTAAAAATGAATATTTAAAAAGTCTCCTACCAGCTCACTGCCAGATCATGTACTTTCAAGGTGTTGCTCAGTCTATATACACCTGATTTCAGTGGGCGCACACATTCTCTTGCATGAGCAAGGGAAGGATTGACTTGAATATCTTCGGGAAATTCTGAATCCTGAATTTAAAAGACATACACATAATTAGTTCTCAATGGACACCAGAAGCAACTTGCAGTTTCTCAAGTCACTCCTGACACACACAAAAAAGTTCTCAATGGTTACAAACATTTAAGAGGTGTTACGATACTGCATTGTCTCCAGAAATGACCAAGAATCATAAAATCAGCTCAGAGACAGCTTGCCCTCTGCAATACAAAGCCCAAAGTCAGGCGCATCAGCAGGATTTCTTGACACTCATTTTTTATCATTTAGTTTAAAATATTATTTCCACCCTTCATACAAGACAAGCTCCATGCCCACCATGTTGACTGAAATGCACTTCATCACAAGATACTCTATGTTGGTTTTTACATTGATTTTTATGTTAGTTTCACATACTAGGCAGATTTTTTTATTTACCTGATAGTATTGTGTAAATTTTAAAACTTTGTGAAATACCCAGAGGACAGGTACTTCTTTAGCATACATACATGTTTTGGGTACTGTAAGGAAGTGTGCCTATGAATAAAACACTTAAGCAGGATCGGCAGCATACGCTTTGGTTATGCATTTGAAGATTCCACACTTGAGCAGTATATCAAGACACTAACCCATTTGACTCACATATTAAATAAATCACAAATGGTAACTACTTGAATGGAGGTGCACTTACCTGTTTTTTGTAGATAGGGCCCAAATTACTCTTTATATTTAAAATAGGGTTAATTTCCAAGAGGGTGAGACCTAAACACGTATATATCTGGGAAGACAAGGACATATCCTAAAATTCCTTTTTTTCCAGTGTTGTGCAATTATTTCCTATGAAAAAGCATCTATAACAGAGTTTTCCAAATTGTGTGTCACAACATATTAGTGTGTCTGTCACAGTATGTATTGAAGAACATTTGAGTCTGTATGAAATAATAAGTCAGATATGTTTAAATATATAAATGTAAGGTTTTCATGAGATATTTTGTGTGTACATACATTTTGGTCTTTCAGTTTATGTATGTGTCCATATTACTTATAAGGGTTTGGTTTAACTTCCAGTTTGCTAGTAAAGCTGAATTACTGTGTAGCGAAATGATGCTTATCTAAAAAGTGTGTCATCGATGTAAAATGTTTGGAAAGCTCTGATCTATTGGGATGCCTCAAAGTTGCATTTTAAGACCAGTTTGGATATGAGCATGAAAAATGAAATGACTTCCTAATTAAAAAGAACAAGCAAGTCATTCTGTTAAAGAGCTAAAATAAGCAACTAAGTTGATTTTTGTTTGTGTCAAGAGCAACTTGAGAAACTGCAAAGTTGATGATCCTCTATAAATATAAACACATCCATATTACAGGATTAGGAACAGAAACGTTAATAACAACTTTTATAACTAGAAGCAGAATGACTTGGAAACCACTTTGTTTTACATAATAAAACTTGCCTATTCTGTTAAGTAACACATGTGCTTGGATTTCATTGACCAGTGTGACCTCAAAAAACCCTGTAAAGATTAGTCAGCATGCAAGAAGATGTAGTAGTCAACTTTAATTATTCAAGTTAAATGATCTTTATTTTTAAAAACAGACTGTCATTTACAAAAATCAGGAGAGCATTTGGCCTCTTACAGTGTACTTTAAGAAATAAAAAAGTCATTAACATGCTCATTATTTTTATTATATGGTTAAAAGATTGTCAGATTCAATGGATGTTTGTAAAATTATCAATCTACACTGGTGATGGCGGCTTCATTAAAAAGATTAAAGTACACACATTGTCTTCTCAAATTACCATCACCCTTGCAATTAAGAATGGGGAAAGATCTCAGTATTCCAATCACTATACATAACAAAGATATAATATCTAAATGCTTATTTTAATGCCAGTATTGCAGTTGATATATTTTATGATTAAGGTCAAGAAAAAAGGACCAGCCAATAACAATCTAGAAATGGGATATGAAGAAGGAAACACTTCATTTCCTTATAAATCACACGCTGTAGTAAGTATTAATGAATGCCAGAAAAAGAAAACATTCTTTTTAAAAGCAAAATTAAAACAGTATGCTAAGGGCAAACCAAGCCTGAGACACCTCTGTGCCATACTCCTAAACTGCCCTTGCTCCATGTGCCATCCGCCCAGACACTATAAAAAATAAAACTTTGACGTGCCTTCCTCTATTGCTGAGCGAACAGCAGTTGTCTATCTTGAAAACTTAAAATACTAAGCAACTGAGACTAGTATTGGTTTTAAATATCAAAAAAGAATATTTATTTACACGAAGTCCTTGAAGACTTGGCACAGATCATTAAGATGCAATCAGTCAATAAATGGACAATAAATGGAACTTTAGAAATATTCTTTCTTTTCTCCAGATGGCAGATAAGATTCTGGAATCTTAACACCCTAATTTTAAGCTCTTGTGGTTTAGAAAGAAGCAGATTCTTTCCCTATCTTTAACTTAAAGTTAGTTCAGGAGACTAAGGAGTGCCAACTCTCTCTATAACTATATACTCAATACAAAATACACCATCTATAATACTTATACTTATCTATAAAATAGTCTAGGTTAAAGTAGTTTTTGCAATGGTTTTCCCAGAGCTTAGCTGCATAGCCGTCTGCAAGCCTGAAGTCCTTCCTCAAACTGAATAGGGCAGGGAGGATTCCAAAATGGAGGTTCTTCCCCTGGAGCAGGGACAGGCTCAAAGGGCTGCTCCCTAGACCAATCATTGCAAAGAAGACCTGCACACTAGCTTTGCAAACTCTGACTGTAACCTCCAGGCCTTGCAAACTGCAGCAGCCCTGGGACAAAAAGCAAAAGGAAGACACCCTGAGCAATTAAAAGGTAATGCAAAAACAGTCTCCTGGGAGACGGAACACTTCATTTTAATGTCCCAAGTCAATCTTATCCCTGCCATCTCCTTTTGCCCCTGCTCTCCGCTTGATTCATTAGAACAATTTGGATATCTGAAACATGTATCTGTTCAAATTAGCTTTATCTCTCCCAAAACACTCCAGTCCTATCTTCTGGATATAAACTGTTCTTACTCCATACTGCATCTAGAGAGCTCAGATAATTGACTGAGTGGTGTTTACAAACAGGATGTCTTCTGGTAAGTAATTGAATGGAATTTAAGAGTTCGGCTATCACTTTGGCGTAGGGCAGGGGTCCTCAAACTTTTTAAACAGAGGGCCAGGTCTCAGTCCCTCAAACTGTTGGAGGGCCGGATTATAATTTGGAAAAAAACATGAAAGAATTCCTGTGCACACTGCACATAACTTATTTGTAGTGCAAAAAAAAACACTTAAAAACAATACAATAATTAAAATGAAGAGCAATTTTAACAAATATAAACTTATTAGTATTTTAATGGGAAGTGTAGTCCTGCTTTTGGCTGATGAGATAGGGTTTTGTTGTTGTTGTGTGCTTTTCAAGTCATTTCAGACTTATGTTGACCCTATGCAAGGGCCGGATAAATGACCTTGGAGGGGCTTATACCCCCTGGTGTAGGGTATAACTCTTGAACAGCTTCCACAGGTCAGGCAGTTGTAAGTGTGTGTGTGTGTGTGTGTGTGTGTGAAAGAGTACATCCTTAAGGTAAACCCATGGATTCTTTTTTGAAGTCTTAAATCCTGCAGTTTTAGTGGGAGTGCCCAAAGTTTACTTCTCAGCAAATGGCTGGCTACCCAAGTGATTGGACTGTCTTCTTGGTTCAGGTGCTATGGCCAAGAGAAAACTGCAGGGGTTTGTCTCGAGGAAGACACATGGATTCAGCTGGACCCACATCCGGTTGCTCCTCCCTCTTGTTCTTTTTAGCTCAATAACAAATTAAAAAGGACACAGGTTACATAAAATTGCCCTTATTTCAGACATGCATAGCATATGGCCCACAGGCTGCATGCAGCCCAACAAAGGATTTTAGCTGCCCTATGAGGGCTGTTAGGCAAAGCACACCCAAAGCAACAACAATGTGGTCACTGGTGCCTGCACAAGTCATGGCCTCGACACCATCTCCCTTTCCCTCAGGCCAGAATCAAGAGCAGGCACCAAGTCCTGGTACCTTTTCCCCCACTGCCAGCTTCTTCTACTCTTGGGCCATGTCCCACTGTCATGCTCTATCCCCTCTGCCAACACTGCTCACAGAGGCTCTGAGGTGAATAGGAGACACAAGAAAATCAAGCTGGTTGGCTATTAAGATGCACCTCTTCTGCCTCACAGCTCAGATTGCCTTGGGCAGTTTGTGTAGTCAGTATGTGCCTGCTCTGTAGTGCAAGAGAATAGGCACACCAAGTTGCAAGTGATACAAGTGCGGGGGGGGGGGGAGGAAGTGGGCTCAGCTTTCCTGGCAGACCTTGAAAACACAAAGGAAATTCCACACTCAGGGCTATATAACAGGAATGCCAAGAGCTCCATGGGCAAGTTTCCTGAGAGCAAGGTATTCTCTGGGCCTCAGTCCTGGGCATGCTGAAGACCAATGAAGTTGCTTGTTTGTTGTTCATTCGTTCAGTCACTTCCGACTCTTCATGACCTCATGAACCAGCCCACGCCAGAGCTCCCTGTCGGCCGTCACCACCCCCAGCTCCTTCAGAGTCAAGCCAGTCACTTCAAGGATACCATCCATCTTGCCCTTGGTCGGCCCCTCTTCCTTTTTCCTTCCATTTTCCCCAGCATCATTGTCTTCTCTAAGCTTTCCTGTCTTCTCATGATGTGGTCAAAGTACTTCATTGTATTGTCGAAGGCTTTCATGGCTGGAATCACTAGGTTCTTGTAGGGTTTTTCGGGCTATAGGGCCATGTTCTAGAGGCATTTCTCCTGACGTTTCGCCTGCATCTATGGCAAGCATCCTCAGAGGTAGTGAGGTCTGTTGGAAATAGGAAAATGGGTTTATATATCTGTGGAATGACTGGGGTGGGGCAAAGAGCTCTCTGCTGAAGCTAGGTGTGAATGTTTCAGCTGACCACCTTCATTAGCATTTGAAGGCCTGGCTGAGCCTGGGAAAATGTTCTGTTGAGAGGTGTTAAGATGTG